TTTGTGAGTGAGGGTCAGAGTTATAGGTGATCCAAGCATCAGATCGGTGCATCCTCATACCACAGCTCTGCTCTCTCAACACATAAAGAAACATAAGAGAAGACTGACCTTTGTGATACCGAGGACGATGTCTATGGATGTGGTCAACGGGTTAATGGAGCCCACCAGCTTACAGCCCACTACTTGAGGGAGAGTCAGAGATATTGGTTGGCCCAGCATTATGGCTTCAGACTCAATTCCCCCGACTCCTGAGAGAGAAATATGGTAAAAATTGTAGAGTTTTTATCTTAATTTTTATTTCCCTTTCTGTCTGCACCAGCGAAAAAAACTCTTCTGATGTTAAAAAGCTCCGGTCAATATTTCCTATAAGGGCGCAGCGTCAATATTGTGAGTGAAAAGTGTGGATATGGATGTTCTTTTAGTGTTTTTAGTTACATTTGTAACTACATTTAGTTACAAAAATTGTTTCACATTGAATACGTCTCTGCATGTCTTTTCTCAGCAGTGCACACACATAGAACAACTTTTATTTTTTAAGTGTGTTACATTATTGTCTGAATCCTACTTTACACACATGGTACATTAATAATTTCTTTCTGTGCATATGGATCACAATCTGACAGAAAATATTTTGTCTTCTTCTTCTGCACAACTGTCAACTGAGATTTGAGAAGATTTAAAGTTTACACAGTGGAACAGTCTAGAATAAAGCAACACTCCTCTAAATCCTCCTAAACAGTCAGATCACACACAGTCTTCAGCAGTTCCTTACAGACGACGTTCAACTTTTTTTAATCTGAAACATCGCAATGTTTCTAAAACACAGTGCATGCATAAAAACACACACTTACACTTGATTATTTAGGTTAGCATGTTGCTATATCCCTTAATGCATCTGCTCATTTTTTACCTGCTAATTTGTGCTGCTTTCATTAGTATGCTGGTCATTACCTAAACGAACTGACTGCTTCTGTTTTATGTAAATCAGTGCATCATCAGCTGCAGAATTTTACCCTCCCATCGGCACATGGCTACGATTACAACATCATACCAGTTTGACCTGCTTGCAAAACCTAATCTTTATATAATTTATTATCTTTATATTATTCATTAATCATTTCTCTAAGGGAGAGTCTCCATGGGCTTTCTCAGCCAAAATATTACACGGTGAAGGATCAGGTTTAAACCATCTAAGTCAGCGGTCCCCAACCCCCGGGCCTCGGAC